GCAGGTGATGGGGAACCCCAGTGCCTTGACTAGTACTGCTGGTAAGGAATTTAACCTGGAGGTATTGCTCCCCCAACATGCTATACATGCTTTATGTGAAGAACTACAACAACTCACTTCTGCACCCATAACCAGGCTCTACTGTCAAGCCTGAAATTGCATGTACTGAATTATGCTGTCAAGTGTTCATTTCTCTTTACCTACACTGCTGCGTGTGTGTATGTAAGGAAGAGCTGGGTTATTGCAGCTCCTCTGTTTACCATGGCTTTGCCCTTGGTTCTGGTGCCAGCTTCCTCTGTAATACACCCATGGCCTTAATGTTTCCTAGTTTTGAATTCTTAATTTCACACCTTTCACTTTCTTAATGTCTAGTGCAGTAAACTGTATTTTAATTGCATTTACATCTTTTATTTAAAGTTTAAATGAAAGAATGAGTACTATAAAGTGACAAAAACTCATACTAGTAAATTGCTTTCAGTTTTGGTTTTTGTCCTCAGCTGCAACTTCCTCCTATTTGGGTTAAGGGGAAGCAGCCCCAGATTCTAATCAATGTAAGAAAACGGCAATAGTACTGACAAAGCCTCAGCTCCGCTTCAGCAGTGAACTGGAAGCTTTTTTGCAACATGGTGATTTTTTTTTTTTTTTTTAAAAAGCACTTCTATTTTGTCAGAAGTTACGCGTGAATGACAAGAGGGTATAGCTCTGGAAGCTTCTCCTCCTCCCAATGCCACAAAACATGTAACTGCCTGTACTTGCAGAGAGTAGCCAGCTGTGGGCGATGAGGAAGGGAGCCAACATTGGTGCAGGTATGCAGTACTTCATCTAGCCATCTCCATCTAAAGTAGGGATTGCAATTCTAATGGTCCCTAGATATTTCTTCGTAATTTTTTTTTCCATTTTGAAATCAACTCTGTGGGATTCTTACACATTATTATTCTGTGTAGGAATAGACAACTGGTGGAATTAAGCTAGGTGTGTCTCCAGTGATTTCAAGTTAGCCTATTAATACAAAAAGGCTACAGAAGTGCAGCGGCAGGGACTAACTCAAGTAGGTCGGAGACAAAGTCTGAAGCATGGCAATGCCACTAGCCCATCATAGCCAATATTTACATAAGTGCCTGATGCTTTCTAACACCTGACCTTCTTAAAAATTAAGGTGGCATTACCAAGTGTTTGCAGTTCCAATTTTAAGACTGTTACGACTAGAAGCTTTCACAAAATTGTGCAGCTTTCACCGTAACTGTACAAGTAGCCTGCACCCCCTGCCTACCTCCTTTAAAGGGAACCATCTGCTCAGCCAGCTTAAAACCATCCGCTGTGTGGCACTGTTGATTAACGCTGATGGAATAAAGTCCTGAAGCTGGAAGACCCACTTGTCACCTAGCACCCTCACACAGTGCAGCAAGGAGCCTGCCACAGTTTCTGCAGCAAAGAGGCCTATCTTTGCCTCTTCGTAGCACTTGGGCGGACTTGGCAGGCACCCAAGGTACCCACATTTTTCACTTGAGACTAACTACACTCTTTCTGTGTACTAAAGCTCTCTTCAAGCCCCCTACAAATGTGAAATCTAAAAGGAGGAAAAGGGTCTCATATACTTATTTTAAAAGTTTGCCTTCCTAGAGTAAAATGGAAACTCTGAGGAAAGATGAGTGGCACTCTCTAATGCACAGGGTTTTCAGAGAGGAGTGGAACTACCTACCACTGCAGTCTGAGTCCTCACCCAGCAATTAATCTGTAAGCCAGAAACCTATTTTGCCTCATATTTAGTACAGCCATACCCCTCCTCAAGTAATTCGTGCAAGCTTGTGTTCTTGGTTTACTCTGCTGGCCCAAAAATGGTCAAATACAGTTGAAATGTGAGTGTTCCATCTAGTTAAAAATCAGTTCATAAGCACCTGGTTATTTCTTTCAAGCATATTATCAAGGTTATTTATTTCAAACATCAGTGCCTTGATGTTTGAACCGCTTTGTCTCTTCCATCTTGAAATACAAGGAAACGAGTTCTGCTGCTCACTGATCTCAGTTCATATCACACATTTACTACAGAGAACAGGTTTTTTTTAAAGTAAAATGAACAGTTCAACTGCTTATCAGACTTGTGAATTTGCAAATCAGTTAAAATTGGGGTTTGTCTTTAGGGCTGATAATATGAAAATGAAAAACTTTTGTCCACTGTTGTATATTCACACAATTGCAAGTAGCACGCCACCCCCCCTACAGAAAAGGGCAAAAGCCTGACCCTTAAAAAACCAAAGCAATACAATAATCCCCTCAAAACCCACATGCCTTTATGTATTCAAACTACACAAAGCAACGGGGAAACACCTTACCGCGCTTCGACTGCTGTTCTTCATAGGGCCTGTCTGAAGATCAGAAGAAAACGCAGGCACGTCAGTCGGGTACTGGAGCTTTTCACTCTTCCTTTACCAGACCACAGCACCATTAAAAATACAGGTGTCTGCACACAGGAGGCTCAAAGTCCACTGCAAGTAGTTTTATGAAATAAAATTAAATCTGCTTTGCATCACCAGCCTAGTTCATATATACTTACATGGGCCTGTATTAAATTATTTGGAATGAGTATTGTCTTATTGTAACTTCACCATGTCTAGTGCTGCTGTCCTCTCTTCCCAGCTGTAAAAATTTGACAGTGCATCACAGCTAGGTTGGGAGTTTGCTTTCTTCAGTAGGGCTAGTTCACCTCAGAGGAAAATGAATCAGTTGTAAACTCACAAAACTGGCAGGGAGACTTGAAATGACCAGACTAGAAATATTTAAAATTAACCAAACAAACAGTGGAAGTTGTTTATATATGAGTTATTAGAAGGTTAGTCCAACTCTCCAAATATCCAAATACAAATTCATCAGCTTGCCATATGCTCACTTAAATGTGCAAAGCAACAACCTCCTACTGCCCCAAAAGCTGCCTTCCATTTCTATTAAATGGGATTAGTGCTTTCTTTAATTAAAAATAGTCAAATCTGTGGGTTAGGTGAAGTTTTAAAAATGTTCAAAGTTTTCATTCAAGTGTTTTTTTGTGTGTGTGTGTCATTTAACATACTTAAATTTGAGGACTTGCTTTATGCATTCTTTATGATTTTATAGTAAAATACACATGTGGGCACACAAAACACCAGAACCCCTTTACTACAGCTATTTGTGCATGTAATTTGCTGTCAGTGGGATGAAAA